CTGGCCACAGCACACCATTCTGGGGCTGCTACCACTGCTGTGCAGCTGCTGCCGGCAGGGATGCTAATGAGGGGCTCCAGGATACCACTCCAGGGTCACCATTGCCCTCCTGGGCCTCCAGCCCCTCTGCCCCTGGACTTGCCGTGCTAGCTAGGACTGGTGGCTGCACGTCGTACAGCACACCTGGGATGAGGAACAGTGGCTGGATGCATTCTGGCTGACCTGGCCCACCTTTTGGGATCTCCTACAGCAGCTCCGGCCCCATCTGGAGTAGCAGGACACTGGCATGCACCTGGCTTTACCTGTGGACACCCTGCTGACTCTCACTGTGCTCAAGCCTTCTAGCCTCCGGTATGTTGGACACCAGTTTGGCATGGGTAAGGCCACACTGGAGGTGTGCAGAGCCCTCTAGGATGTGCTGGGGTCCACCATGCTCCGTGTGCATGACTCCTTGGCAGTGGTGGTGGGGTTTCATGCCCTCGGATTCCCTCAGTGCATCGGGGCCCTGGATGGGACCCACATCCTTATTACCTGCTGCCCTACCAGCTCTACTACAACCACAGGGGATTTCATTCTGTGGCCCTTTTATAGCCTGAGACAGGGGCTGCCATAGAGGCAGCCCAGCTCTGGGGCAGGAGAGGCACCCAGCCTGGAGCCCTGTGGCTGGCCTCAGGCTGGCCCTCTAGTGGTAGGGCTCACCCTGGAGCAAATTGGTTCCCAGGTTGTGTCCACATGTTTGTTACTGCGCAGCAACTAATCCTGCTTAATTTTGCTACCTGCAAGTGGGATTGAGGATTTTTACTGCGTAGTAAGAGAGCACAGAGCACACGTGTAGAAGCGCATGCTTACTGTGCAGTAAATTACGCTAATGCACAGTAACATGTCTTATGTAGACACACCCTCATTCCTCCTCCTTCTCCACTGACAATTTCAGCTTCATATAGCTAATACTGAGTGCCTTATTTTTTCTGAAATATTTTCTCAATTTCTCCATTCTCTGCTACTTCTCGTAATACCACTGCCCTCCCTGCATCAGAAGCAATTTCTAATTCCTTTGTTTTCATTCCCACACATGCAAACTGAACCCAAATTCTGACAATATTACTGCACATTTCAATCTTTTCTTTTTAGTCTTCTAGTTAATATTCCTGAACATGGCTCGATATGGTGCCTTCTTTTTCATTCTCAGTGTCTCTTCCATTCTGGCTTCCTTAGCACCTGTGGAGTCCCTCCTCCCCTTTTGATCCATCAAAAATGTCACTGCTAAACTTATCCTCCTCGCTTATTAACCTGAATGCTTTCAGTCCCTCCTGTCCCACTGCACTAAGTTTAACATTCTTGTCATTGCTTTAAAGCTCCTACCTTGCTTCACTGCTTCCTATGTATCTGACCTAGTATCTTACCACATTATCCTGTATCCCTTTTGCTTGGCCAGTGATGCCAGTCTACATGCTTCATTTCTCTTCTCCTACAGTCTTTCCTATGCTTTTCTTCATGACTCCCCTAATGAGCAGACTAAAACATCCAGTGGAGCTGATTCTTGCCAGGGTTTTTGAAGCCTTTTATATTTGGAATAATAATATTTTCAATCCCTCTCTATTAAACCTCCTTACTATTGCAATGACTATGAGAAGTGAGTAATGAGTACTTAATCAATACAAGCTTTAACCAAGCTCTGGAGTGTGAGGCTCTCTTCAAACAGTGACCTTGCAGTCTCATTTCCTATCCTGTCCTATACCGGGAAGTTTCTACTGTTGGAAGATAACTGGAGTTTCAGCTTTAAGAAATATGAAGTAAAATGGGGCTGTCCAACTTCTGAGCAGCTGGGGACTGCACGCTCTTGGGGCCACACATCTGGGGCCCACCTGGCTCTCACGCTGCAGCAGCCCCCCTTGCTAATTACATAGCCTGGGCATCTTGGCTCTCCCCCTCTCCTGGATGCGTGCACCCTGTAGGTTGCCCAGTGTCCCAGTCCAGTGCCCCAGTCCAGTCCCTTCCTACTCCCCCCCCCCAAACAATGCACAGCACTCCCCTCCCCTCCTGGGCATGCATTTCACATGGGAAGCCCCTCCTTGCAGCACAAGAAACCTGTCTCCCCCCCACAACCACATGTGCAGCTCCCAGCCTCTCACACCACACACCCACAGCATGAGCAGCAGCTCCCTTGTTTGCTGTGCCCTCAGGTTGGGCACTTCAGCTCCCTCCCAATCCATGCAGCAGGAGCAACTGGAGACAGAGGGAGTAGTGGTGGCTGGGTGAGAGGCTGTAGTCTCACCCTTTGGGAGCTTCCAGCTGGACACCACTTATGTAAAATATACTGCAGAGCCAAAGCACCCCGGCTTACAGTAACATTGCCTCTGTGTTTTAGGACACTGTGGTAGTATATTGTAGTAATTATTGTACTAACTTATGAGAAGTCCAGTAAAACCAGTCTGACACATACCCAAGTGCAGGATCTGTGCTGTTGTTGGCAGGTTTCTGACAGCCATCCTCACTCTGTATAACAGCTCATGCTTTACCAGCTGATGCTGCAGGTTATGTCTGTATGCTGACTGGCAGGAGACATGCCTTTACATTCCTCGGCTGGAGCCAGGAAGGGGTAAGAGTTTGCAGGAAGACCTAACAAAATGTAACCTTTGCAGTACAGCTTTATACTTCTTTGTATAAGATTTAATTTGGAAATGCTGGCCTGAAGCTTTTAAAAATATTTGAGTAGCTTGAGGATGCAGTTAAATATTTTATTTATAATATTTCTCCTTATCTGCACAGTGATAGAGAATAACAGTAATAAGTGTGTATTTCAATAAGCGTGATTTACTATTGGGCACTAGGGCCAATGCAACAGGAGTCCCATTGATGCCCTCAGAATGGGGTTTATGGATTACATGTTGTACTGTATGGACCCTTGTTGTGGGAGCTGGGATTTTTACTTTGTATTTCATACATGGCACGGGAAGTAGGGATTTATAGGTCCTTGTGTGGTTTTCTTGTACTAGGATGAAATTCACCCTAACTAGTTCATGGATTACATATATCACAGATGCACCAAAAAAATATCCATTGACACTAGAGAGAACAAGAATGAGATAAACCCATTCCTAAAACAAAAGGCCATCATGTCTTTGTGGCATACTTATCGAGGCAAATATAATACTCTGGTTGGAAGCCATTTTGTGTTCATGCAGTGCAGATTGTTAAAGAGGAAGTGCTCATGCTGTCCTTTCATGGATACTTAACTTTTATTTCCTGTGCTGATATTCTCCTAATCTAAACTAAAATTCATTCCAAATAAGTGTCTTGGAAAAGTACAATCCATGTCAATTAATTAGTTTGTGTATCAGAAGGAAGCAACAATATTGATGGCCAGTTTTTATAGTAGATTTATTAAACATAAATGCAGCTGGAACTGAGTTGCATTGTTACCAAACAAATTAATTCTGTGTATATGAGGTAGGGTTCAATGCTGGGATGAAGATAAGCAGAATCCTTATCTTTTAAACTTGTAATGATACATAAAGAACATGGCTACTACATATGGTTATGGTTTGTAGCCTTTGTGAAGAAATGGGCTTGTGAACCAAACAAGGGTTATATGCAGCTATGGCAAATCTGCACAGGACCACTGAGGTCCTCCAGTTGAGTGGAGAAGCAGCACCCTTTTGAAGCAAAAGCTGTTGCAAGTAGCTGTGTGGTTCATCCTTTATTTGGCAACTTGTTGTGAATTCTGTAGGCTGTGAACCACTCAGATACAAATGATCTGGGTTTTACTGTATTGGCTTCTCGCAAGATCTCAGCAGTCCAGAGGATCTAGAGAAGCATTTGCCAGAGTACATGAGGGCCCTGCTGTACAGTTTCCTTCAGGTACCCTATGAACGCCTAGTAATTCTTCAGTACCTAGGTCCCTGAACTATCTTCGGAATATTACATGAAGTTATCCTTTTAAAAAACATAGCATGGGAATCTATTTAGCTTTATAAAGCCTGATTTTTCAGCTATAGGAAAGTGACCTGGGTAGGCTGTAGGTAGAAAGCTTAGTTTAAGCACCACTCAATGAAATCCCATTTAATTATGATAGCAATTTACTATAATATTAGGGATCCTAAGCAAGACAGCAGAAAGACTGAATATATTGCTCTGTGTATTTGTGTTAAGTACGTATTATGGGATTTTTAAAAGCCAGATGACAGTTACTCGACTGATGTATTATTCCACTGAACATATGTGACCCCTTGAAATGAAAGAAAAAGCTATATTGCACAGCTGGAAATGGGAACAGTAAGGCTAATACCTGTTTTAACAGAGCAGTTAAGTGCATGTCACCAAGGCATCAGTTTCTGGGCAACAGATATAGATCCTTAACAAAGCCTTAGCAGAGTCACTACTAGTTGCAATACCGTTGGAGAGCATCATGAGTATCAGGGAATTAAAAGTGATTCAGTTGGAGGCTAGACTAGGACTCCTATCAGATACTATAGATCTTTTCTATAGTAACCAGAACCTTGTAGTTGAAGCTGCCATGAAAAAAAATGTATAGCAATTGTGGCAATTGCTGTTTTTCTCCGCTGAAGGAGAACAGAAGCGCCAAGCCATTGAGGACACAGAGCCTGATCCTCTCCTGCTTTGCATTTCTCATACCATAAAGTGAATAAATAGGAACAGAAGCATTTTGCCCAGTGGCAAATAACTGCAGGGCAGAGAGAGTCAAGCCTCCTGTGTCACTCTCCAGGAGCGATTGCCTTTAAAAATAGAAAAGCAAAATCAGAATGGACAGAAGGCTCAGAAAGCCAATGAGAATTACAAACAGGGATTTAAAGATAAAGAGAAGATCTTAATTAGATCTCCACCAACCTGTAGAAAAACACATTTGGATTAAAATGAAATAGAGCTTTGTATTTAGGTTTTCAGAGCAGGCATGGTGAGGGGAATTATTTATGTTTGCCATTTGTGAAGGTAGATTGCTTTTTCTGCAAAACTCTCTTTTTAACTTTCAACCTTTTCAGAACACTGCTAAAAGCTGCTGGTAGGGGTGATTCTGATCACACTACATAAAGGAAGTGTTCCTGTGGATAAAAAGCAGGCAGCATTTCCTAGTTTAATATCATCCTTCCAATGTTAACTCCTTTTCACATTTGTAAACGGACCCATCTACCATTCAGGGGCATGCAGTAAACCTTGCCTTATATTTCACCACCACAATTACATTCCTTTTCGTGAACATCCATCAATATTTAATATAGAGGTGTCAGCTTGCCTGTAACGTGAGGACCTAATAGGGACCCTGAATTATACATCGCATGGTTGGGGAAAACCAAAGTGACTTTTCTTATAAACCCAAAGTTCTCCTGGCTGAGGTGATTTCTGGAAGCTGCTACGTGAAATCCATATCAATGGATGATCCTCAGAAGAAACTTAGCCAGAAGCATGAGGGAAGACCCCGCAAAGTGAGATTCAGAATATCTTCTGCATACAGTGGTCGGGTGTTAAAGCAAGTCTACGAAGATGGCCAAGAACTGGAGCCTCCAGAGAAAGAATATTCCCACTGCTTTCTCCACCGCAGCTTTGAGTCAGGGGACCATTTTTATGGGGCTGGAGAAGCATCCAAACCCAGGTTTTATTCTTCAGCCAAACTGACTGCCCAAAGGATCAGTATATTCAAAGAGGACAACAAGTACAGTATAACAAGTAACTCTCCTCTCTTCAGTGACTACCAGACAAGTGATAGTCATCATAAGGTAAGTAGTATTCACTTTAGATTTACAAGCTGACCAGAAAATGGTTCACTTTTAGAATATGACTTTTTGAGTCTTCTAATTTAATCCAATCAAGATTCAATTCAGATCTAGTTAAAGCCATAATGGTCAAGTCTTCAGATATGTGCCTCTAAGTCTGCAGGTATGCTTGTTCTTGCAAATTTATATGTGCCAGTTTTCTGTTCTGTTCTAAATGATAGATAGTATCTGCGCATCACAGTAGGGCACTAGGTGACACAAGAAACATCTGGTTTATACAGCTCACTTTGTCATTCCTCCTCTCCCCAGTGAGAAAAGGGTTTGTGTGGTTTAGTGTTTTGTTAGTTTAAAAAAATAACTATTTACACAGGATTCTGTATTTACCTACTTGACAGGCAGGCAGGTATAAAAGTCTATTTGCATTGTGGGTGAAAATGGCACATGAGAAGAGGCTAAATTGAATCTGTTTAGAAAACATGGCCCAGTGCCTGAAGTAATTAGCAAATGATTGTTAATCAAATTTAGGAAAATATAATAGATGTGTAGCACATCTTTATTGAATAACTGAGTTGCTGTACCTTGGTGATAGGTGCTGGGACTTAGACTGGGATCTTCTAGTGAACCTGGAAGATCAAATCTAGATATACCAACTACAGAACAATTCATATATAAATCATGGTATAGTAACTTTTGTAATAACATATATTAAACTGGAAAGTAAGTATATACTAAGCAGAGTAGAAGCAACAGGTACAGGGATGTAGGTTGTAGCCATGTTGGTCTAAGGACATAAGCAGACAAGGTTCTTTGGGTAAATCTGATATCTTTTCTTAGACCAACTACATAGTTGGAAAAATTTTTGGAATTTTTTTCCCAACTATTTAGTTGGTTTAATAAAAGATATCAGATTTACCCAAAGAACCTTGTCTGCCAATGCAACGGGTATACACCTAAAATTCAAGAATTGCATGCAATGGAAAACAAAGCTAAAAATAGGTGACTGGGGTTAACCAGTTTGGTGGAGTGATATTATGATACAAATTATGATACAAAGACTTCACTGTTGGGCTACTGCTTCAAACTGATAGTAACCAGATATTATTACCATCTCACAAGGCTTGAGTGGGCTGCTGTGAGATGATTTGGTAGCTTCAGTTCAGTTTTTAATGAATAGGAATGCACCTAGTCCTAAGCCAAGCATAACTGGCATTTTTGCTTGAAGTGCCAGGACATAATGGACCTACAGACAGAAATATGTTCTCAGTCCTTTGGTGTTACTACCTGTGCTGTTCTGTGCATAAAGTGGGAACGATGACTCCCCATAGTTGTCAATCTGGCACTTTCATGATCATAACTCTATTTAACAATGAACAGGGAAGTATTTAAAAAGTGCTAGAAATTATTTCCAATGGACAAGGTTGAATACATCATTCGTGTTGTAAACACGCATTCATATTTAAGCAAAGCTGTGTGTATGAATCCCATACTATTGAGATGAGCAGTATAAAACCCCATGTCATCAACACCTAGCTAATGCAGGAATACTCTACAACAGTGAATATTTAACCAATGCAAATGGCACCATACTGTATGTCATGGCACCTGGACACTAATTCTGGTGAGACGATTAACTTTTTCTGTGTTTTTGGACAAGTCGCCTAATCTCTGAGTCTCAGGGTCCCCAACATTCTCTAGGATCACCTGTCACCCTGCTCCAAAGGTAATTGGTATGCTACAAAAATCCATTCAGGACCTAGTGAAATCATGTTGCATCATAAATATATGGCCTTTAAAAGCATTCAGCAAATGGAAATGGTTTAAGCCAATCTGAATTTTTCATGCTTCTGCTGGAACAGGAAAGGGTCTGCCAGGCCATCAGTGTAGCGTCACAGGCTGATTTATATCACCTGGAAGCCTGGCCTGGTATCTTCTAAAACTGCAGCATTTCCAATTACTTGGCATTCTGACATACATACTTAGAGTGAAATATGAACACAATGTGTAAAACAATAGGATAGGGAAGCTGCTATATGATACTCTGTAAAGAGATAAGGGAAAATGGAACAGAGGAGCAAACTTACTGCTTTCAGGAAAGTGTATGACCAAGAACTTTAAAAACAATAGAAAAAACTAAAAATTCAAGCAGGTAAAAATTTTTTTTTGACTTGCTTCTCTTTCTCTTCCATCTAAGAATTACCATTGTTTCCCACTTGAAGAAACAAGTAAATATTTGTATGCTCAAGGATAAATAGGAGAAGGGAGACATAGAAGGTAAACACTTGTCTAAAGATGCTACCTCAAATGAGAGCATCACATTCAACATGAATAGGAGCTGCAGGTACACAGCAAACCTGAAAAGCAAGGCCAAAGTGATGTAGTTCCAGTTATGTGATGTGAGAAATTGTAGTAGAGCTGGGGAGTGAACCCAGACCTTTTTACAGGATGTCTTGTTCTTGAACCATTAGTCTTGTCTCCTTCTTATCACTTGTGATATGAATGTTTAACAAATATTTAGATTCTGGCAGTACAGTGACTGCATGAGCAAATATGGGAGCCATTGGGTAAATCTGGGTGTCAGAACTTGAGAAGGAATATTCATTAGGCTGTGAATTATTCCTGTATATGCTTGTAAGAATGTATCTTGGCTTGAGTGAGTGCTCCAAACCATCTGTTCATCCACACTTCTAATTGTACAAAACTGAGCTGGAGAAAGTTAAAACTTGCATATTCCCTCGCTGTAACTTGGTACTTACACTTTTTGGGCAGAACCAAAACATGAAAATACACTTGGACATATGTGAAATTGTGGGGAAATAAAGTGAAGACTTCTCTGTCTACAAAAACTGTAGATTGAATTTTCTCCTGCTGTGTTCATATCATGGAATGGATTACTTCCACATGGGGCTAAGATGAGAAGATGGACTCAGAGGGCTGTTGGATGCTCACTGAAGTCAGTGGAATACTCTCATTGACTTTGGGCTTAAAGTCAGGGCCAGATTTTCATGTGTTCAACATCCAGAATCAGGACAAGAATTTTCAATAGAGCACAGCACCTCAGTTTGCTGAGCTTTTCTAAAAATCTGGCCAAAGTGTGGTTCAATTGCAGGTGAACCTTTGCCTTGTATGATGTTGTTGTACAGCTGATGTGCTCATGACTCCTGTTTACAGCCTTCACCCATTTTAGATTTTGGTAAGATCATCATCTACACTAACAACTTGAAAATCATCCGTGCACCAACAGACAAGAAAGAGCTGGTGAGGAAGATCATCCAGAATGAGGGCCTGAATGACTTCATGTTCCGAGAAGGGAAAACAGGAGATGCTGAGCCAATCAATAGGCATTTGAGAGATGCAGAAAGGCACTTTGCTCACAGTCAATGTGGACAGGTAAAACAAAATAGGTTGCAATGCTTTGTCCCCACACTCCTCAGGGTCCCATCCCAATCCTATGCATCCACGTCAGCTGCGGGGAGGGGGTGATCATTGTTTAATAGCACAATGGCTCCTTTGTAGGGGAAGAATATTGTCTTTCCAGTAAGCCAACAGGACTTCCACTGAAATGTATGCAAACAGACTCAGGTCCTAAATCCCTATTTCACCTAAGGAACAAGAGACCAGGCCACAAAATTTATTCTCAATCTCTCACGCGAGCATACAGAGAAAAACTACTATAGAGCTAAAACAGCCCTGAAATTGAAACTGAAGTACTTTCGTATCAGCAGAAGTATTTCAGAGTGAGGTCAACCATTTCTTTCATGGGTCGTTCTTTGCTGTATTACTGGTCAGAATTCCAATTAGTTTGATCTTAATTGGATCCCAATATATAGTGTTGCTGTGCAGTGAAACTCCAAAGAATTACAACTTTTGCAAATCAGTAACCGACCTTTATGCTTGATGTAGGCTTACTTACATAAATTCTTCAAACAGAAAATCTACTTATAGCTCAGATACATAAGCACACAATGAGAGTGAAGACTGTATCTTCTCTGGAAAGTCTGAGGCCTACCAAATAACTAGTGATCTAGGTGCCCACCCTCAGACACCTTAAGAGGAGATTTATTTTTTTGGAAGGGGATGCTAAGTATTAGGGTGTCTTTAAAGTGTCTTTGGCTCTCAAATCTATCATACGTACTGTAGCATAGAACTTATTTATGTAGAAACGGATATGGGGAAACTAGTTTTCAGCTGTGATCACCCAAGTTAGGGATCTCAGTTCTAAATCTGAATAGGTTAGACCGCCACTTTCATGATGTTCTCATAGTTACGTGCATTGGAAGTCCTCAAGTTGGAGTTAACGTAGTATAAAAGGGAGAAAACTGTCACAAGGCATTGCTTTTGAATAATTTGTCAAGTCCTGAGTTCTCTACAGAGTCCATGTGTTATAGTGAGCACTTGATGGAGCTGAAGGTCCTGTGATGATGATTATTGTTGGTTTTGCAGAGTAATTTATGGTAATTCACGTTAATATATATATATTGATTTGATATAATGAATATTTATATATGTGAAGGACATCTGTGACACTGGAAGGTGTCCTGCTATTGTCATTATAAGTTGAAATAAACCTATTTGCATTTTCAAATCACCTTGCAGGCACCTAAAGTATGTATCTGCCACCAATCTGCATCTTGACTTAGGCCCTTGAGTTTCAACACTAGTTCTGTAATATTGTGTAAAGCAGAAGTACATGGATGCAAATAACTGAACTTGACATCAAAAGGATGAAATTTTGCCGTGGTATATTTTTCTGTTAGAAAGTATTTAATCCTGTCTTTGAAGAAACAGTGCATTCTGATAAGGAATTTGAAAGAGTGCCTGGCACACCGTGTTGGAATCCAAGCCCATAGAGGGAAAGGAGAGCATGTTTCAATGCTAAGAGCTGTTGTACAGATCACAAAAGGAGGATTATCCCCTAAACTGGGCTCTCCTGGTGAGAGTTCTATGTTTGTCACTAATTTGGATGTCAGATGTTAAGTAAAAGACTTCTGTTTGATCCTTTTGTTCCAGGGAGGAGACATAGAGCGCCGCTGCTCCCTATGCAAAGGATCAGGCTCTGCCCCCTGCTCTCTGTGCCATGGAAGCAAGTTTTCGATGTTGGCTAATAGATTTAAAGAGTCGTTCAGGGCTCTCCGCTGTCCTGCTTGCAATGAAAATGGCCTGCAACCTTGCCAGATCTGTGCCGCATAATTGTATCTCAGCAGCATCCTACTGAAACCTCCGTCTATGTTACCTGTCTCCATCTAAATAGCTGTTGTATAACAACAGAAGGTTATTAAAAGTTGGTAAAGGTGTACATGCAAATCTATCCCTATTACTTCATTTCCTTGTCCCTAATTCGGTACATTCACCTGTTACATCTGTTAATGAAGGTAGGCCCCAATCTTGCAAATGCTAACATGCAGTATTTCACTTCACATGTTGGAGTAGCCCCATAAGTCAGAGGATCTACTTACATGCTTCAAGTCAAGCACATGTGTAAATGTTGACAGAATCTGGGTCTGTAATTTGCTGGGGTCAATACTGTCTATTTCTGTATGCACATATATTGTGCAGCACAATGAGGTCCCAATCTCTGGGGGTATTAAGCACTCTTGTAACAAAATAATAATAACTAGTAACAGACATAGCAGTACCTTAAGCATGTAAATAATTTGTTGAACTGAAAAACAACAGTGTAGCAATCTTATAAAGCCTGCTGTCAAGTTTAAAATGCTGAACATACAAACATTGCACTGTATTTTGCAATTAAATCTATATTTATTCCTGCAGTGGTGCATGTATTTCCAATAGATGTAGCTTATTTCAGTTCTAGTTCTATGTTATACAGGGATTCTTTTAGCATATAATTCAGGTAGCAGAAGCTGTTTCCAAGTCTAGAGTCATAATGATAAATGATCACTGTAAAACTTGAAACATAAATAAATAGAAAAACCAGAGAGTTTTATATGTTGGTTCTGATTTGTGCTGACCCACATTTCCCTTTGATGTCAGTGGGAGTTCCAGGTGCTCAGTACTTTTCAGAATCAGACTGTTGATGAATAGGGCTCCTGATACCTATTATTAATCTGGTGTTGTAATTTGCAAAATGCAAACTCTAATTAATTTCAATGAAGTGGCAATGCTGAATACTTAGCAGGATACAAGTGGCAGCATGGAACACAAGGGCTTCATAGAGTGGCAGCCAACAGGGGAAATTGTTTTCTTTTCTTTTTTTCTTCAAAGCCTTCAGTTTATTACATTTGATATTCATGGGCAATGTTAATGCAGGTTTAACTTCCATATTACCTCTGAGACCCTGATGAGTTAAGAGGCTTCTTACATGCTGTACATGCTGAGGTTGCAAGCTGAGACAAGGTAATTTATGGCCAAGTTTTCACTTTGGTAGGTGTACATCACAATTTTTTTCTGAGACATCTAGATTATTTGCAAAAAATCCATTTTAGTTTTCAGGCTCCTTTAAAAGCTGTAGTTTATATAGGAGCTTTGTTTTTCCCAAGTGCTTTATACTATCTGATTTCTTAATTTAGTGCAGGAGTCCTGCTCTGTGCATGAACATGAGGGTAGATGAAACTCCTAAAGTTTCTAAAATTTTTGTTAGTTAAGTTCCTTTTATTCAAAATTTGATTGGTTTTTCATTTAAAAATTTGCTAGCTTTATTTGATATTTCACTAGCTTAAAATGAGTAAATGTAACAATGTAATTTTCCCGCTTAGGGATTTAAATGCTTACAATAAAATTAGCTGAAAATATAAATTTAGAAAGTCGGTATTTTATTGCTGTTGCTTCTCATTGAACAGATTCCTTCTTCAGCACTGTTACCACCTCTTTATGCCTCTCCTTGTCAACTGTCCCCATTTATCCTGACACTCTACTGTAAACGTTCCATGGTTAGAAACACTAGGCATAATAATGAGCTCTATCCTTTACTTACTCAGGCAAAAATCCCATTGACTTCAATAGGAACTTTACCTAATTAAAAATGAAGGACTACAAGATATGTCTCAGTGTGCATTGCATATAAGAAAGGTATGTGAGTGACACATTGTAAAATTCGGCATTGTGTTATATTATTATTTGGGTCTGATTCTTTTTTTTTCCTCCCCTTTCACATTAATTCAGACATTTGTGGTTGTACAGTGCCCTCGGTAACTTAGAATATTCTCTTACCGTACTTAGAAATGTCACTGAATATGTTGGAGCTTTCTTAGTAACATCACATTTACAGCGGACGGAGTCAATGGGATTATTTCTGCTATTAGTATTTCTATTTCCATCGCATGCAAGCCTGTCTGGACGGTGGTCCCTGGCAATAGGTCAAGTGCCTGCCGTGCTAGAGAGCTCTGAACTATGGGAAGACCCGAGTTCTGATTGTGGCCTTGTTTCTAAATTGCGCTCTGACCTTAGCAGAGTCCCTTCACCTCCTAGTGCTTCTGTTTCCTTTTGTCAGTCGTGTCTACTTGCATGCGGCCCTTCAGAAAAGGAACTCTCTCTCTCTGTATAATTATGTAGTGCATGGCACAGCGTCATCTGGATCTTCCCTGGAGCTCCTAGAGGTTATTGTAATATAACAACAATGAAGGAAAAATGGGGAAGGGGCAGGGATCACTCTTCATAGACGTAGTTATGTTTGCAAGGCCTTTGTGGCATGATTATAAGCAGAGAAAACAAGTGCCCGTTACTCCCCCTCTGTTCTTCAACCTTGCCATCATCACAGGCTGAATTCATCTTGTACAGCTGTCCCTTTCCCGGCTACCAAAGAAACCTCTGCAAAGATGAAAAAAAACAATGAAGTTACAAGCTGAACACATTGCCTGGTTGCACAAATCATGAGCGGTACGCTCGTCCAATGCAAACAGTCACGTCGATTCACCTTGCAGTTCGGGATGCCGCACCGCGGTTATAACTGGCCCATCACGGGACGTGCGGTGAAACATTCATTTGAAAACTTAGTACTAACTTAGTAAAGAGAGCGCCCGAGGGGGGTGCTTTTTAAATCGGTTTTCTCAGGCATTTGACAAGTTGGGGAGGCCAGCAGAAAGAGAGAAGCTCGAAGGCAGCGAGGGCCGCGCTCTTCAGGACGCCGTTTCCAGGAACGAAAAGCAGGGTAACACCGACGCCGTGTCCGCTGGCGCCGTCTATTGAAAAGAGTGGAGGAAGAGCAGGACCCAGGCCAGGGCGGGCTGACCTCGACACCGGGAACAGCCTGGAAAGGCACAACTTCCATGGCAGGAAGTGGGACCACGGCTTTTCCGCTGGGAAGACCCCTTTAGGCTTTGCCAGGGAGAGGATGGATAATAAGGCACTTTTTATTATCAGTAACTTATCCTGATTTCAGCACAGCTTTTCTTGAGGCAGCCGGGGGCAAGGGGGGGCTGCAGGAAGGAAGGGCAGGGGGTGTGGGCAGGCCTCCCTGGGGCTGCGGGGCGGCGGCAGAGGCAGGCGGGCGGCGGCGCGGAGGGGGAGGGGGCCCGTGGGGGGAGCCGGGCGCGG